TCCCCAAAAATGAGGCTCTCCTACCCCATCACATGAGAGTTCATGCAGGGCTCTCCTTTGTCTACTGCTATTATTCCTGGCCCACCTCATCAGCATTGATATGTTAGGATGAAACAATGCCAATTGACCTAAATAACAAGGACCTCCTGTTGGCCGCCTCGGAATACCGTTCCATGCTCTGTCTCCACAGATCAAAAAGATTCCTTCAGGTAATCTACGAGGCTCGGTTATGTTACTACCATTGCATTGCGTATAGACTAACGAGTTGATCTCATTAGTATCAAGGCTCGAATCTAAAGTTGCCCATAGCTTCCTGTTTGCATTCAACTCTCCCCGAGTTAGTGGTTCAAACGATAACCATCCACCGTCGGATCCATTAGTGGTAGCATTCATACAGCCAAATAGGTCCAACTCTTCCGGGTCCGACTGAAGGGAGGTATTAAGGGCATGAATCAGTCTGCACTGCACTTCCCCATCTTGCTGCTGGGCAGTAAACCCTGACGTATGGCTACTGGTGTTGTTAATGCTTTCATACTTAAGGTTGGTTAGGTTTACCAGTCCTGAAAAAGCCGAAGCCGTCCAAGTAGGTACTCCTATAAGGCAGGTGCGGAATGGATTACCCACACCTCCCAAAGCAAGGCACATTGACGATTGATTTGTTTTGTTAGCAATGGTTACCCATATGTTGTCTCGCGGGCTGATGGAGGTAATCCCGTAACTTGCCTGACAGAGAACCAAAATTCCTATGCACATGCCCATTATCCTACCAATAGACTCCCCCATCCTTGTCATGACGCTTACACTGCTTCTGATATCTAGTACCCAACACCTGTGTCCTTTGTGCTATTTCTACAACCGTTACCAACTTTTGTAACCTAAAGGCCGTGTGTGCGAGTATAGCTTCTTCCTCGCTCTCAAACAGCGCCCTTAGCTCGTGCTGAGAAGCACCCTCCTCATTAAGCCATACAGCAAGCGCCTGGTACAGATTAATAATTGAAGCACACCTGCAGTCTATACAACCTCGCACTGCAGCATGCTGTCGTTCATGACATATACGACCGCAGCCTCCACACCTTATAGTTATAAGTATTAAATTCCTACATCTACATCTACAATGAGTTAGCGGAAACACTTTTGCAGCAACATGTGTGCATAAAAGGCTATAAATAAGAGAAAAATCTAACTCCTCAGGATCAGAGTCACTTAATATGTTCCTTGGGAGATTTAACGCTTTGTCTATTTTCCTGCAGAGAGGTCCGAGTCTTTGGGAGCTCCTGAATCGCCTTCGCTCTTCGGTTTGCTCAGCCACGGTCGTACCCACTTGGCCGGAAGCCACCTTGGCACAGATGCCCCTTGAGGGAGGACTGTCCACTCATATCGTTGGGCTGGTCTTGCGTTGTTAACAACAGGAACCGTGAATGCAAACTTTTCAGTATCTTCCGGATGCAGGGGAATTGAAAAGAAACAGTCCTTCAAATCAATAATTAACAGTTGCCAGTGTTGGGGTAACACTGAGGGGGAAGGTAGGCCTGGTTGGAGTGCTCCCATGGGCTGCATGACCGCATTCACAGCGCGCAAATCATGCAGTAACCGCCACTTTCCAGATTTCTTTTTAATAACAAAGATTGGAGTGTTCCAGCAGCTCACTGATGGTTTTATATGTCCCAATCGGAGCTGTTCCTCCACAAGTTCCTGCAAGGGCTGAAGTTTTTCCTCGGGGAGCGGCCATTGGGCTACCCACACTGGGTTATGAGAAGTCCACTGGATCTTCAGGAGGGGCAGGCCTTGCTCCCCAATGGCCGCTGTCAAAAAGGTGTGTCTCCTAAGGTAATGCCCCACTGGCTCATTATGTCTCTGCCCAAAATCCAGAGGTTCGTATACATCACATAGGGCTTCACTGTCCCCATATGTCCCTCCTTGTTATCCATGAGTGTGCACCACTGCGCACTTTGACAGGTTGTCGCTTCTCCACCAATCCCGGCTATTGCTGACCTCGATGTTATCAGGGGCCACGTCTTCGGCCAATACATCATGGGGATGATAGTGATATCTGACCCAGTGTCCAACATGAATTGTGGCGAGTTGCCATTGGGTAACTTTAGCTCCTGTGGTGTCGCCTCAGCCTGTGACACCCTTACTGTCCTCATTGGCCTGTCTCGTGAGATAACCATTGAAAAAAGGGACAATACTTTATTGTCAGTGATGTTGGTACTGCCAAATCCCCCTGTTCCTCTTTCCTTAGGCAGGGCCCGGGGTACTTGGGGAATGAACAGGATTAATTGTGCAACTCGGCTCCCCTTTGGTACTGTCATGGACGGTTGCCATGCCTTTAGCATCACTTTAATAGTTCCAGTATAATCAGCATCAATTAAGCCAGGCAAAACGAACAGTCCTTGTCGTGTAGTGGATGATCGCCCAATCAGTAAAGCGGCTAGACCCCCACCCAGCGGGCCTGAAGTTGTTGTTTCTGCTAGGTGCACATCCGTGGTATCAATTGTTATTGTGTTTGCCAGGGCCAAATCAACTCCTGCGCTTCCTCTAGTGGCAGCGGGTAGTTCGTGGAGGCAGCCATGCTGCGCAGAGGCTGTGGGCCTGAGAATTTGTTCATCGCGCTCAGGCCGCGGCTGCTGTAGTTTCCCTGGTCAAGGGGGGTACCATCCTTTTTAAATCGTGATCGGCACTCCTGTGCCTTATGTCCATATTTCTGGCATCGCTTGCATTCACCTTCAAATCCTGATGGCTTATGGGGCTGCTGCCATCGCTGTTCCGGACATTGCTTCTTAAAGTGCCCTTGTTGTCCGCATAGGTAGCAGGCAGTAGTTTTTGGCCCTCGATCTCCTTTTCCTTGCAGATTTTGGCGTAGGGCTACAGCAAGAGCGGATGCGTGGATGCGTGCTTTCGCCTTTTCTTCTTCCCAAGGAGCTCGAGCACACGCCTCTACCATCTGAATGAGAGTAGCCGAGGGGGCTAAGGTGGCCAAGAGGCGTTTGCAAGCATTATTGGCGTTTTGTGTAACCACCTCCTTCACCATGACATCTTTGAGATCCTCTGGCACATTTGGGGCGGAGTCCACAGCTGCCTTGACTTTGTCTACAAAAGACAAAAATGATTCTGTGTCTGCTTGAGTGATCTTCATATACGGCGGATTGATTTTGCCAATTTGCGGCAGGGCCATGAAGGCTTCCAGGGCGCATGCTTTTGATTGGGCCAACACACGAGGCGAAAGTGCCGCCTGCCGTTGAGGGTCTCTATACACCCCGGTTCCTAAAAGCTGAGCTTGTGTGGCAACACGAAGCGGATCTCCAGCTGCACGTTTTCCAGTTGTTTTTCCTCCACCCTCTCCTGCCATTTTGCCAGGAACAACGTAAAGGTAGTTGGTCCCAATATCATTTCAAACAGAAGGCGAATATCCGTGGGTATCATATCTGCATATTTTACAAACGCCATGACCTGCTTCTTTACAACAGGGTTATCTAGGCCATAAGCCATGACAGACTGCTGCAGTTTGTTAATCTGGTTCCATTCAAAGGGCCTCCACTCTGGCCCATTAACGGTTGTAACCACCGGTGCTGATACCAATGGTGTAAAGGTAAAGTCCCCTGACAGTTGGGCATTGGTAACCACTCCATGCCATCGTTTTGACAAGTCAAAGGAGGGGTCTCGTGGTGGCTCCTTGGCTGGGGCTTTTGAGGATGATGGTTCTTCAGTTGGTACTGGCACCTTTCTAGGCGCAGCAGACCCATATTCCCTATCCCTCACATCTGGATCCAATCCCGCTTCGCGAAGCTGGGTTCTCCATTGTAAAATGTCTCGTCGCTCAGCTTGGGTCAGCCCTTGCCCTGACCCATAATTAAGCCTGAGATGATCACTGAGTTCCTCAATTCCCATTTCCCCGTTTCCAGCATATTGGATCAGATTGAGTCTCTGGGCCTTAGACAACGTCTTAGGCAACTCCTTTGTGCCCGCCTTAGTTTCAGTCCCTTGACCCCACTCCTTCAGCTGTGCCTCTATGTTCGATAGTCCATCCTTAATAGCGTCGGCCGCCCTCTGATACGCAAAGGCGCGAGTCTTTTTGTGTGCCCCGCCGTCCAATCTTTTCATCTCCTCTAACAGATTGGTCATAACATTCTTTTGCGCCTGCAAAAGTTTCTCTATCTTCGAGTCATCATTTGACAACTCTTCCTTGGTGCCAGCAACACCGTCATTATTTTTAGGCGGGGATGTGACCTGGGTGTCCATTGGCTCAGGCGGCTCAGGAGGGGCACTCGGTACAGCAGGGGACGCGGGCTCCCATGGTGGAATCAGGTCATCAAATGCTCCTCGAAACCCTACCGGGGCAGCGACTGGGGGCATGGGAGGTGCAAAGGGACCCCAGTCCAGATCAGCGTACCCTTTCTCCCGTTCTTCCTCTTGCATAGCTGCATCTAAGGTGCTTTCATCACCGGGAGATAGCTCGTCCTCTGGATCTTTTACAGCAGGGGATGTGATTGCCGTTTGTAAGGCACGAGCTATATCTGCATCGGCATGAACCTGGTCCATCATCAACCGTACCTCCCGATAGGTTCTTGCCATAGCTTTTGCTCCTTTCATGCCCGTCTGCACACTCTCCCATAGTTCTGACCACACTGTTTTCCAGGCCCCTGGGTCAAAAATCTGATCGGTCTCAGTTAAATGACCGCACCGCCTGCACCAAAACAACAAGCCCACCAAATCGCTGCGGTCTATCTTATGACCCGTTGTGGACGCAATCTTCATGAGCCCGTCCACTGTGGCTCGCTCCAGGGCTGTCATAGCAGCATTCCCCATCCCGAACCAGACCTCGGTCTGCCTGACTCACCAGTCAGCCGTAGCTACGCTGGTTTCAGTTTTCCGCAAGTTTTCGTCCGCCTCTCTCGGGCGCCGGGATGGCCGTCTCCTCTCTCGTCCGCGCTATAGCCTTTCCATCACGTCGGGGTCACCAGATGCCGCGGCCGAAGACGGGGAAGCAAGACACATCAATATGATGAGTAAATCAGCTTCAGTTTATTCCGTGATATGTTCTCTTTTTATAATGTCCTAATGTTCCGTACATGCAATCACGCGCCTTGTCAAGCAAGCTCATTGGCTTATCACTACTGTTCACGCGACAAACACAAGCATAACATACATTCTGATTGGATAACAAGTTTTGCATACTTTGCAATACTTCAGCATTTTTGCGGTAAGCACATCCCTGTTCAACATCCTGTTTTTCACAACTTTAAGCAACTTCCCTGTTTCAAGGACAGTATGTCCTTCATATCTTCTGATACACATTTCTTACTGTTAATACTCCGGCCCCAGCAATTCAGAACAGATTAGCACATCTTTACAAGAAAGCCATGATTTCAACTTACAAAGTCAGTATTATCATAAGTAATGCACCTTTCCTGAAGAGGAAATCCTTGTCTTTTATCAAATGTCAATTGCAAGCGTGTATAAACAAAACAAAACAAAACCAAAAACAACCAACCACCAAACAACACACACCAAAACCCACCCATATCCCAAACCCTCTATTTAGATTATATATATACACATACAGATAAAAAAAGAAACACTTCTTCATAGATGACAACTGCATCAATTTATACTTCAGGTCCTTCTCCTCCAGGAACCAGCTATAAAAGAATAAGATAATTTTGTGTTAGTGCCATAGATTTGAGTTCTACAAATCCATTTGTGTCAGTTCTTGCATTACAAGATTATAGCAGATGAAGACTTCATCGCAGATGACAAATGTGGTTTTTAGATTCACTATTATCTTCCTCTCCCAACAGAGGAAGTCAGTTACTGCCAGAGAAGCACACGCAAAAAAAAAAAAGTCTCCAAAATATGGAGAATGTTTAACAAAACACAAAGGATATCCCAGATAACACACATTTTGGGTTTTGTCTTTGCTACTCACTTCAAGATGATTCTGTCTAGAAACACCTGAGCACATTTTTAAAAGGACAAAGAACACATTTCCTTTCATGAAGTACTTCTCCAATTGCTGATTCTTCCCCAGACTGCCACTATAGTGGGGAAGTTGGCTTCCTCTCTCCAACTTCTATTGCTAAGCACAGCCCAAAAACTAACAAAGAGCCTGAACCCTTCAACAGGCAGCAGGGAATAAGTCAGCATAGAATTTTCATGGGAAGAAAGTAAGGAACTGAAGAGGAAAAAATACAAGAGAAAAAACATGAGTAAAGGAAAAAAAAAGAAGAGAATAACTATTCCTTTTACTCACAAATACTCTTTTTTAATATATTCCTTCTTAAGCATTTTAACCATTCATTTTCCTATATTCTTAATAAATAGCTGAGCACTTCTAAAGACAAAGAGCTTTGCTGCTTTTGGGACAGAAGTAGGAAAGTCTAAAGCATAGGCTTCCTGATGTGGGAAGATGTGTCCCCAAAAGACAGAAGACCTAATACAGAAACATATCTATGTCTTGCTGAAAATTTGCACTCTAAGAATCGCAGGCTGATTCTTCAAGGGCAGCATACCACTAGTTTAACAGGATGGTTGTAATTTTACCTTGCGTAAGAAATCACAACATGCACTATCCTTTAAGGATGAAGAACAATAACCACAGCAGAAAAAGGCTTTGAAATTAAGGCAAGATGACACTTGCTCAGACACACAGTAAAGAGGTGCAAGGTAGGTAAGACAGCAAAATAGAGATTATTCCTCATTCACCTAGAGCCAATTTAGGCTCAAGTCAGTCATCATCTCCTCCCACAAAATTAGGAATGCCCTTATATAGGAAATCCAGTGTCCTGGGTTGAGTGAGTGGTGGGGTTTTTTGGTAGCAGAGGAGGGGGCTATAGGGGTGGCCCCTGTGAGAAGCTTCTCGAAGCTCCCCCAGCTCCAAGTCAGTTCCACCTCTGCACCAAAACTGAGCCCATCAGCTGCGCCTCTGCGATAACGTATTTAAGAAGGGACGTGGTGAAGAGCAGTGGGACTGGTGAGGAGGAGCTGTGGCAGCTGCGTGAACACCAAGGTCAGTGGAGGAACGGAGGAAGAAAGGAGGGGGGAGGTGTGCCGGAGCAGAGACCCCCCTGTATCCTGTGGGGAGACGGCAGGGCGGCCCCCCCTGCCACCCATGAAGATCTACGGTGGAGCAGACACTGATTTATGGCCTGTGTTTTTTTGCCTGGTTGATCAAGGTGCTGTGCCCAAAGAAGGCCGGGGTCTTGGGGGAAAAGGCAGCCCCACTGCTGTAATTCAGTGCTGGGAGGATTGCAGCATGCAGGGGTGTCCCACGCCGGAGCAGCTCGGGAAGGGCTGCAGCCATGGGAGGGAATCCAGTCGGAGGAAGTTACTGACCCATGACGGAGCAGTGTGGGGAACGCTGCGGCCCATGGGAGGGACTCATGTTGGAGGAAGTTTGTGGAGGACTGTCTCCTGTGAGAGGGGGACCACGATGGAGCAGGGGGAAGAAGTTCCAGAAGCTCCCCCCACCAAAGATGGAGGAAGTGGCAGCACTGACTGTACCCCCCATTCCCTGCCCCTGCGCCACTGGGGGAGGAGGTAGAGATATCGGGAGCAGAGCTGAGCCTGGGAAGAAGGGAGGGGGGGGGGAAGGTGTTCTCAAGATGTGGCAATGCTTCTCACTGTCCTACTCTGTTATGTGTTGTTAGTGTCTGTAATAAACGTATGTTCTTTTTTTCTTCCCCTAACGAGTCTGCCTTTTGCTCGTGCTCATAATGGGTGATTTTTTTTTCCCCCATCCCAGTCCTATCTCGAACCCCAAGCCTGGCTCATCTGTCCCTTCTTATTGCCAGAAGAGAAGAGAGAGAGAGTGGCTGCGTGGTGGTTGGCTGCCGACCAGGCTCAAACCACAACATCCAGATTTTATTGCCATCTACGCAGGCAAGAAAAAACTACTGTGGGTCTGCTTTTGTAGTATTTAGGAAATAGCAGAATTCAGCAATTGCAGAATTACAATATTTAAGTACGTTTTCAGTACTGATCTACATACACCAGCAAGTGATAAAATGAAAATCATAGTGCTTCTAATTTGGTATAATCCAAGAGACCTCCAGATTTTTTTTCACAGCACATAAAGGCCCAGCTCCCTGGGCATCACGTGATTACATAGTTGCCAAATGATTTGACGAGCTTGTAAGTATCCAAACTGCTGCAAACACATTTATACAGAAAATAATGGATGAAATGTAGATGTATTTCACCCTACATACTCAAGCAGGCAAACACTCAGGAGTTAAAAGGCACTGTATGAACCAGCCTACAGAGCAGGCAAGAAAGCCAGCGATTCCCTTGCACACCTGAAGACCAGAGATGCATTCACCAGTATATAATGAAGGCCATGCTCTTCTCATGTTTCCTGTAACATCTACCAAGCAAGGCAATAAAATCACTTTTCCAGCATCATTCATATACATATATACCCCAGAAGCTACTTGAAAGTAGCTTATGTAACAGAACTGTCTGGAGAGCTCAGCTTGAAGTGTCAAATTCAATCACTGACCAATTCAGAGGTACAGAAAATAAATCCATGCAGCCTCTTAACAATGATGACTTACCATTGTTATGTTATTTCCATTTAGCAAAATCTGGTCTAGCTTTGTGATTCTTCTTCCCTCAGGTGTAATCTCACTGAAGCAGCAACAGAAAAAGTAAGAACGAACACATAACCGGAGACAGTGATTCCAGTTTTGATTACAGACCTGACATAAATGTCTACATTAAGATGACATTTGTTGGAACTAACAAATAAATTAGCCACACTGCAGCGTAATCTTGAAAACTGATCACCTAGGTAGAGGAAGCTACCTGGCAACTAATAAGATCCATTGTACTTTTCTGCTCAGTACATACAGATTTGCCCTCTAAATCTTGGCAATTTCCTGAATACCACCAATCCTCAAAATAGCTTTCAAATAGCAACATGGCATAACAAAATAATATATACTCATCCTTAAGTCTGCCAGATTTTTAAATCTTTGCCTAGACCTTAAGGAAACGTAAAAGCAAACAAACAAACTATTGTAAAGTTTGTTTACACAACCCATGCAAAATTAAGGCTACAAATTAGGAACCTGATTACAAGTCCAAATCATGCAACAGCTACTCTATGGCATGGCTGTCCAGAATAAATCACCAAGTCCAAGATATAAAGTCCAAGATATAAACTATTCAGTTGGCAAGTATTCAAAAATTATAAAATCACTTTGCTCATAGATCTTGTGCAGAATTTTTTCTTCAGGAAACCAAAGATTAAGTAGCAACAAGAGGTAGAAATAATACTTACAATTCTGTAACATCTTCTAACACCATATCTGAAAATCCAGTTTCAAGGAAAATAAGGCCCAGAGTTTTAAAATCAAAATAGTTAGAAGTTATTTTCATTTTATACTGAACTGTGATTTTTATCAGTTAAATAAAGATATCAGAACAATACAATTAATCCATACAAAAGGGTTCTATCCAGTGGACTCAAACCTCTCAAAAGCAATAAATGGAGCTGAAGAATAAAGTGGACAGCCTTAAACATTTCCATCGGAGGATACTGACAAAGTCATCAAACCCTAGGAGTGTTCCAACAATTTCCTTATCGCTCTTCATCACAATATGAATGCGTGAACCTATGCATTTGTCCACAAGTTCTGCCGATAAAATCAAACAAGGTTGAAAGGTACGAGACATTGTTTTGTAGAAGGTATATATATATTTTTATTTCAGAGCAAAATCCCTGACGTTCTGATGGCAAAAGAAAAACAAATAAAACAAATAATTGTCGCAGACACCGGTTAAAAAGAAAACAAAATAAAACAAAAAAACAACACACAAAAATAAGGGGAACAAAAAAAAGGATTCATTAGACAGACCGCGGTGGGGGTGGGGGTTGGGCTAGGAAGCCGCCGCGCGCCGCCGCTTAAACTTCCCGCCGCCCCGAGGGCCCGGCCGGCGGCCCGGCCACCCCTGCACCGCCCCCCCGGCCGTAGGACAGGAAGGGAAAGGGAAAGAAGAAGGGAAAGAAGGGAAAGAAGGGAAAAAAGAAGGGAAAGGCCGGGCCCGGGCCCGGCGCCCCCCGCGACGCGGCGGCCGTTACCGAGCGGCAGCAGCTGGGACGGGTTGGTGTTGACGTTAGCCGCCATGTTAGATTCAGACCCGACCAATCGCTACCCTCCGAGGGGCCGGCCCAGCAGCCCCGACGAGCAGATGGCAGAGCCATCGCTTCTCCCCATCCCCCCTTAACCCCCTCAGCCCGTTTTCCTGGAAATAACCTGTGAGCCGTGCGTGTTGGGTGCGACCAGGTAGCGATTTAAGAGGAAACACCCTTTCTGCTTTTCCTCCTCCAGCCGGCCCCGGTACCCTCTTCCTTTTATTTTTTTTTTTTTTTTTTTTTTTAAACCCGATCCCTGGCTGCTCAGAGAACTTCTATGTACTCCTCCCGGGCTATCTGTCCTTGCTTCCCCTCTCTGTAGGCTTCCTTGTTCTGTTTTAGCTTGCCCAGGAGCTCCTTATTCATCCATGCACGCCTCCTGGAATTCATACCTGACTTCCTCTGTGTGGGGGTGCATCTCTCCTGAGCTTGGAGGAGGTGATTCTTGAATATCAACCAGCTTGCTTGGTCCCCTCTTTCCGCTGAGGCTTTATCCCATGCTACTCTGCCAAGCAGATGCCTGAAGAGGCCAAATTCTGCCCTCCTGAAGTCCAAGGCAGTGAGCTTGCTGGGCTCACTGCCCAAAAGATCTTAAGCTCCGTAATTTCATGGTTACTGCAGTCCCGGCTGCCCCCCAGCTGCACAGTCCCCACCAGCCCATCCTGGTCAGTGAGAACAAGGTCCAGCACAGCGGCTCTCCTCCTGGGCGCCTCTGTCACTTGGAGAAGGAAGGTCTCATCAACGCACGCCGGTCCCCTCCTGGGTCGCTCCTCACGCCCTGCTGGGTTCTCCCTCCCAGAGCTGTGGGGGTGGTTGAAGTCCCCCGTGAGGGCCAGGGCTGGTGAACGTGGGGCTGCTCCCACCTGTCCTTAGAGTGCCTGATTCACTTGTCCTCCTGGTCGGGTGGCCTGTGGCAGACCCCCACTACAATGTCCCTCATTCCTGCCCTCCCTCTAATCCTGACCTGCAAGCTCTCAGTCGGCCCCTCATCCATCCCCTGGCAGACCTCCATAAGGTTGTTTTGTTTTGTTTTGTTTTTTTCCATTGCTATAAATATGTATTTCATATGGATGTGTGAAGGGAAGTATGAGAAAGAAGTCTTCCCTTGGCACGTTCTTGTTTATGGAAAACAAAATATTGTGATTGTTAACTCTAATATGAATGAAATGTAAAAAACTACACATGCTTATAACCAGAAAACAGGTGTAAAATCAACTCCCATTAGTTATGTTAATTCACTGATTTATGAAGGCTACTCTGCAAAGTCAAAGAAACATACAAGGATAGATGGGTAATCATGTTTTCGTAAATTGGATGTTTTCACCTCTTAAGTTTTTTACATTGTTAAGAGCAAAAGGAGAAAGATTTCTAACTTTCTGTATCATTGTTGTGTGTTTCAAGAAGAGTATGTTTTGTCACTTTTTATTGATGTCAGTTCATATAAGGGAAAGGATATAGTGCTAGTTAGGAAGTAACATTGATTTTTAGCGTATCTCACATCCAGGATAGATTTTAGGATTCAGGGCTCTCAAAGATACACTAGGGAGTATTATGGGAAGTTATGAAATGAAGGGAGAAACTGAAAGGAAACATTGAAGTCTGTTAGATTTTGATCAGTTGTTTCACATTCATCTCAAGTTCTCTAAATGAAGCTGATTCAAAATAAAATTAGGTAAATACCATAAACACCAAAGTTCTGGTTTCAGTCCCAAATGTGAATCCAGGTTGCTTCATTCATTCATTCAGGTTCAAGCAAGTTTCTTAAAAATTCTGTGATGCCAGAGCATAGCAGAGGTTGCCTTACAACATTTTTAAAAATCTTTCCTTGGCGCCTATTTTTCAAACTTTTCGCTGCAGTTATTTAGGCCAGAACTTCCATTAAATAATCAAAAGATCCTTGGGAACTGAAATTCTAAGATCTAAAATGTTTGGTCTCTGTGAAGAAAACATTGCGAGAATCCATTTTTACACACTAGATATGGCAACCATTGCTATCTGACTTGTTCATAATTGGTAGTTAGTAAGGACTGAGTTTTCAAGTATTTAAGTTGTCTGTTTCCACATTTTTTCTTATTCTTTTTAGTTTTATTCACTTCTTACATATAATCTTCAGAGTGTGGTAAGGGTCTCTCTCAGTCTTGAGTTCATGCCCAGAGCATTCCAAGATGTGCTGAAGGCTCCTTATGAACCCAAAAAAACAGATTTTCAGAAGGGATCCTAGATGTGGTCCTAAAATTGATGAAAGAATATAAAGTTAGCAGTCGCAGTTCTAGTCCCTAGCATTAAATCCATATACAGTCCTGGGCTTCATCAATTCATGTTGCCAGTGTGGCCCATTAGCAAGGCATTTCAGGACACTGGATTGTCATAAGATTGCACTTATGTAGCCTTCAGTGTGTGTCATTTAACACTGGTGAAATCTAAGCCATGCAAAGATTCTCACAATTAGTTACAGGTCATACATAGTATGAACATTTTATTCCTTCTTTCATTATATGAAAAGAGTAATTGCTTTAATATATTGTGTTAATCTAATCTATTCCTCCTTAAGGAAAAATAACCAAGCAGCTTTGTTTACACAAAGTTGATGCTCTTTCACTGCAAACCTAAGAAAACGCTTTTTTTATTCAGTATTCATAGTTCTCTCAGGCTTCTGTTAAACCTCTATGGAAGAGCTGGGGAAACTGAATGTAATGCTTAAGATGAGCACAGAGCTTTTGGTATTTTTTAATATCTCCTCAGTGTTGGTAAATAGGAAATAAATAGTATTTCTTGTCCTTTTAGAAGGCCATTAATAAAGTATTTTAATACAAATGGTTTTAGTTTCATTTTAGTTTCATTTAAAATAAATTTTTAAAATTGTGAATAAGTGATAAATTGTCAGGTACAAACTGTATATTAGCAACAAAGTGATGATAAGGAATATTTACTTCTTTAGTGGTTAAATAGAGAAAAAAAGCACAACCAGGCTTGGGAGCAAACAGCATCTCTAAATCTGTGAAGTACTGTGGGACTGCTGCCATCTTCTGGGACATGAAACTAAAATGTGTCAATACTACACAATGAAATACTTCTACTTGCAGGAGCAGGAGAGGTTTAGCTTTTCGGGTATAGAATAATCAGAAATTCTTGAGGGCTGGCTCAGTTGCCCGTGGTTTCTTGTATATAGTATAAGACAGTTGCTCACTGTTTTCATATTTGACTTATAAAAACTAGGTTAACATCGTTTTATAAGTGCAGCAAAATTATACTCCTATAATTTAGGCTGTGGGGAAGATGCTTATAGGCACTTGTTGCATTCTACTTCTGAGACTTTTCTCAGAGTAATTGCACTGGAATAGTGTCATTTTTTTCATTTATGTCATGCTGATTGAAGTGTCTTGTTATGCTGTTTAATGCACATACCTGGTATTGAAGGAATACAACGCTTCTGCCTGCTCTCTTAAATATTGGCCTGTGTCATACATAAACCTGGGATGTTTTCATTAGTTTTACCAGTTTCTCCCCATTCTCTCTCTGCTTCAAGCTGGATGTCTCTCAGCCAGAAATTTTGATTACCTTCTGGGCTTCTTTTTTGGGACAATGCAAGCAAACAAATGCAAAATATTTCCCGGTCAAAAACTCTACCCACTGGGTGTGTGTGGTAAGAGAAAAACTGCAGCTGTCTAGCCACAGTACAGCAAGATAAATGTGATCTGGGGTGGCCTTTGGGACAGGGCTACCAAATGCATGTCATGCAAGTTGTTTAATGCTTGGCACCCTGCCTTGGGTTTATCTTTACTGTTGATACTGGCCATCAATCTTGTTGCTCCTGAGGCTGACTTCCTGTAAGAAACTACTTTACTCCTGCCCACTCACTGCCTCTCACTCATGAAAGATGATTTTATCTTCTTGGTGCAGCTTAGAACATCCACCGGTTGGGTCAACTGAAATAACGCCAAATCTTGAAGAGGTCCCTCATGCTCAGGTGTGACAGTGGAGGAAAACCGTTGCAGAGTCTGAAGGCAATCTGGGGGTGAGTTTGTGATAACTGGTCAGTGGAATACACTGCTCTGTAATAATGATTAAAAAAAAAATAATCTGGGACAAGGTCTGTGCAACATTTAACTGTTAGTAAGGTCCCATTTTGTTAAAAGTCCCCATACATTTCCTTATCATACCTGCTAAAACGAGCTACAACCTGACAGTTCTGAGAGAGGTAGTTTATTAGTTATGTGATGCAATTTCTAGAGCTGTTATTCGTGATATCCCAGGGTTATGTCAAACTTTGATGAAAATAACTTAAAATTTTATTACTATGAAAATCCACAGAAAACAAAATCAGTCTTCTCTGCTTGTCCTTTTGGCACACTATTCAATACAAAATTTCTTTAATATTTATAATTCTGCATTTATACTACTTGCTCCATTTTTAACTATGTTAGACTGGGATGGTTTAACATGAGAAACTTGACAAAAAGGGAAAGTGCCCATCAGTTTTTAGCTTAAGCACTAATTTTGTTGTAGTGAACAGTATTGTGCAGATCATTGTTTCTGTAACTCTATGGAGACTATCTGTCATCAGCGTTATCCAAGTTAAGTTGTGACCCTAAGAAACATGAAATACAATTCAAATAAATATAGCAGTATAAATTATTTATTGACTTGTTACCTTTGAATCTTATGCAAAACTGTTCTGTATATTCTTGTGTTAATGCTTTTAACAGTTATTACTATGTTGGCACCATTATTAGTTACAGGGAGGAGAGGAGTTTACTCCCTCAGGCTGTCTCAACATGTTCTCTTTATAGTAAAGCAACATTATTTCTCACTCTGCTTCTGTTTCCACATGGAAGATGTAGAGTCTATGAGATCATTTAGAGATTACCTTTGAGCTGTTCATAGGAGTACAGTGCATAGCAGAAGTGTGCATAAATGTATGCCTATTCCTAGAAAGCTCTCTACTCTCTAAGAATACCGAGATATGCATTTAATAGAGTAGTAGAGAAATATTTATGGTCTTTCTTTTA